GGGGAGGGGGAGAGAAAGAGGGGTGGAGAGATAGGGGAGGAAAGAGTGATGGGAGATTGACGTCAATGGAGAGAGATAGGGGAGGAAAGAGTGATGGGAGACTGACAACGTCAATGCACCCAAAGAAGCACAAGCACTTGTGCTTGATGGAGAAAAGATCAAAGAAGATATCCGACTAGGCCATCAGATGAAATTCTAGTCATTGTAATTGCAATTATCACAAATCATATGAACGTAAGGGGATATCCACCCTAAAATGTCCAACTAGTGTTGAAGGCAACAACCCCAAAAACAATGCGAGAAAGAATGTCATGAATTCATCATACACTTGACAAACACTGCCCTAAATGTTTTCTCTAATTGTAGAACACACTTACCAAAACTGCTACCAATTCTGTCTCACACATGAATATGATACAGTTATTTCTCTAACTCAAAAGGTTGTTCTCAAAGATACGATCATGGATTAAATAAGCATTGAACAGGTAATCAAATACTCACATATTAGGTATTTCTGCCACTGTGAATGCATTTAACAAGCTGACTGTACATCATCTTCTCTGACAATGCAAACTGGTTTCCATGATTACAACTTTCCAAAACAAGAAATAAACTTAGGTCTCAGTAAGTGACGGATACTGGCCCTGCAAAATTCTGCAGGTTCCTGGGAGATTTTCAATATTTTGGTTTTCCTCAAAGTTACCTGAAAAATAATGTTGAAGATTAGAAGAGAAAGTAAGATTTACAAAACCAAAAAACACAGAACAGAAGAGAAAGAAAAAATAGAATATCCCCACAATTTTTTAAGTTTCTAGAAAATTTCATTTGCAATAATTCATTTTCTCCTCAGTTCTTTTTCTTGTCTTGGCAAGTGACAATACCCTCATATAAAATGATGTGCATATCAAATTTCGCTAAGGAGAACCAAAGAGACATATACAACTAAGTAAGTAGGAGAGAAGAAACCCTCAATTTAAGGAATTTAGATTTTTTCCAAATAACTTGTGATATTTGGAGATACCTAGAAATTGGCGATAATTGCCATTATTTAGATGACTAAAGCCAATCTGAGCAATAAGCGATTAACAGCTAAGGGAGAGATGATTTTAGCAGGGAATGCAAAGGACATACACAAACACGAGACATTAGAGACGTGTCATTGTATATTTGGGTCTATATAACTGATACTACACCATGGTGCCCATACCTGTGAGGGTAGCCATCTCCAACTCGGAACCAACATCATACTCATTGTCGCATAGGTCTATTTTCCTTAGCACTCCAAATGCAGGTTGTTTCCAGAAAGTCATAACTTTATATGTACAACTGCTAAAAAAGAAACTTGATGTCAAAACTTTACTTTAAAATGAAGGTGTATTGTAGCCTCATGGGATAAGGTGTCCTACTGGAGAATGGCTGAAGATTAACTGTAGCCAGGCGAATGTTATTATGGTCCCATACCAGTTAATCTCCAGCCATCTGTCAGTTGAAATGGACAGTGCATACAGCCTGCAAGTGCCATATGCGATTATCCATTGGAATAAAGCATATGTTTCCTTAAATGAATATCGTTTGATCGTACAGTATTTCATTACCTTTAGCAACTAACACTGGAGTTCGTCCTTTAGGGTTTCCTAACCACAGCAACCTTGAGAATCTTCTTGAACATTGACCATGAGTAATGTAGCACAAAAATGCTCCCCACCTCTCCTCAGTCCCTTCATTATATGATGCAAACTACTGCACAGAAGTGAATGCCCATCCATTCTCCTCCAACTTTAACACTCAAAACAGTGGAAGCAGAACAGCGTTAACTCAAAATCACAAAAGAAGATATAAGAAGAAAAGAACACGATAGACAAGAAAAAAAGAAGTTTATGCCCCATTGTTCTTCCATTTTGCTTCTGTTTTGATAGGGAGAGCTAGGAATTGGAACGTGAGAGACCTGCCTGATAATCCCTGAGGAGATAGGTTTTTGGTTGATTTCTTCAGCCCAATCAGTTTCTCTCAGATGGTTGGACAATCAATCAGTTTCTTCTTCCCAATCATTTCCTCCCAGAAGGGATCCACTCCTTTCAAAGTAGTGCTTTTGAGCTTGAAACACCTAAAAGTTGCAAAGCCCTGCTAATAATTAATAACCGTATCTTAAAAATCAGTTTGGGTATCCGTTCACCTACTCACTGTTCCAGACTCGATTTTTCTATGAGCAAAACAAAACATAGCACATAAAAATAAAATTAACATTCGTTTCTTCGTTTGATTATGGAGGCCTGTGACTCAAACATTGACTTTTAGGCTGTATAAATATTGTCTTGCCTAAACAGATGGGAAAAAATAAACAAAACAAGAAAAACAGAAATCAACATTGAATTATAAACGGGAGGTAACAAACTGTATCTCAAGCTTTAGAGCCACCATATCTCAAGCTTTAGAGCAACCGTTTCTCAAGCTTTAAAGCAATATAGTGCTTATACTGTGACAGTGTCTAAACCTCAGTCTTGTCCTTTCGCCTTAGGGTTGGACACAAAATGATCGTATTAAATAGATCAAACACCCCCCACCCCCCTTGCCCTATCTCTCTCTCTCAATGACACAAATGAAGGAAATTGTGCTTTATAAACCTAGCTCGATTGAACTACGTGTGATATCAATTTGCGAGTCCACATATACAACAGAGCTCTGGCATTCCACGCTGGAAATTCAGATGACTAAGAGCTGTGAGAATATTTTTCCCATTAACTAAAGAGGAATCTATATTATAATCCATTGGGCTAAGGACTTTGAAGAATTAGCCCATGACCTTCAACATCCATTGGAAATTTGGAATGATGGACCATGATGCACAGAGTTGGAACAGAGTGTATCAAGACAATTGATAACCCCAATAGTGGATCCCAGTCTCCCTCCATCAGAATGACCCAATAGACTATGATTTTTTCCATATTCTTTATCTAACTGAAATGGACCTTTCGGCACTACTACTCATGATTTGCGGTTGCCAAGAAAATCAACTGAAAGCAAAGCCCCTTTTACCTTGATCTGACCATAGCTCCCATGTGATTTGTCCTTCCTAAAATTGGCCTATGCGGGGAATAATCTTCGAAAGAATTCTGCATGATTTTCCATCACTTACATCTGCAGATAAGCAAACGATCTCCTCTTCCAAAATGGAGTAAGCATCTGCAAATGCCTGCAAGATAAAGTACTTAATCCAATGGATAACAAACTGAAATTTTGAGAAAAGTACACTATAATCCAGTACTGGAAAAAATAGTCCATTCGGTCATCAACCTCCATTAAAATAATGGACACTGAAAATAATGGACACTGACAGGAAGATAGTGAGACCAAAAGAAGACGGCATGATCACCTCAAGGTGGGTCCACATTCCCTCTGACACAGTCCATGGCCCCATTTGACAGTGATGACCCAAACTCGAGCCCGTTACAGTATATTAACCATAAATTCGAAGTAGAGAACTTAGGTTCAGGAAGGAAACCTATTTTATATGAATTTCGAATTTTTCAACAAATTCGCCAGTGCCTTGGTGTGTTATTGCAGCAATTTAAACTAGGCAGAATTTTCAAATGAAGAAACAGAAATGAGGCAAATAAGTATAAGGGGGGGAAAAGTGAGATTTCCACAAACTATATATATATATATATATATATATATAGTAAA